GTTTCCGAATCCGCGCTTCGCGATTTACAATCCAACAACGATTTTTTACGCGTCCGCACGAATATTAACTTAAATAATACTTAGCTTTATAATCCAAATATCATCTTCGAACATAGAAAATTATTGTTACGAAATTTTCGGATGTCACAACGGGCCATGTACTCAGTCAGCCCGGCCCTACGCCTGGCCAGTGCCAGGCACGGAGGCTATGATATGGGCCACCAACTTAGCCATGCCAGGCAAATTTGGCCATGACTAGCCTCATCCAATGGTGATTCGACTACGAACCTCGGTTTAGTAGGCATGGTCAATCGTGGATGAACATGAGAAACTCTTACCCAGCTAAGTTAGTGCTTCCAATGGCCTAATTCCAATGTTTCCTATATTCTTTGAAAATGGACATAATAGAAGACTCTAGAACATTGGTCATTAAATGCAATGGGTGAATCATCCTCTTAGGTGGCCTTATGAAAATTTGGTAATGATGCCCAAAAATTTGGCTTTGAGAAGAAGCAAATGACTCATGGCTTAGGTATACCAATTGGAATGGCACACATTGGCCTTCCATAATTCCCCTAAAAACTTAGGATGTCACACCATTTCAATAGGCATGCCACATCTCCCTAGTAGGCATGCCATGCCACTCATCCAATAGATTTGCCACTCTATCTAGTAGGCATGCCACTTCAAGAAAACCTATTGGGCCATTTGGACAAGCAATGATGAGGATGGAGCCTATAAATAGAAGGACCCCCTCTTTCATTTCCACCCTTTGGCTCACTTTCTCACCTTCACCCCCTTGCACGCCTACCTCCTCTCTTTTGGCCAAGCCCTCTCTAGTTCATCTCTAGGTAAGTAGGATTCCTAACTCTTAGCTAGGGCGATAGGCTACGTCGTCGAGTTTAGTTGTGTGCTCACCTGTGAGAACCAGAACACATTATGATATTCTTTTCTATGGTTTGCTCATGTGGCATGTTTGAGTGCGTTCACGCCTAGAGACAAGGTCGAGGTTCGCTCGGCTTGGAATCAACATTAAGGCGAGATAAACCAAGCTGCAAGGCCTTATCGGCATTGAGGCGTGCCGATTCCAAGTCTTGCTCGGTGCGGGGATCCGTGCTAGGCGTTCAGTTCAAGCCACGAATCAAGGATTGCTCCCGGCATACTATATAGTGAGGGTCATAACACACACACTCGTTTGAGCACACCCACGAACATTGTGTATGCATCGGCTAAAAGAAAGATAAGAAATTGACTTGTGTGAAGCACCTCGTGTGATCACCAAAGGAAATATGCGCCCGTCGTCACATAGCGTTGGCGGCGATGCAACATTCATTGAACGGGATGCCATGGTTGAGCCAGGATACCTGGGTTGAGCCTGGATGCCTAGGTAAGCTAGCACCGGAATGCCTTGGTTGAGCCAGGATGCCTGGGTTAAGCTCGGATGCCTCGGGTAAGCTAGGCCCGGGATGCCTCGGTTGAGCCGAGATGCCTTATTGAGCTAGGATGACAGTAAATGAATCTTTCATGTGTGCCGGTATGTGCATAAGTATGTTTCCAGTGTTTATTGATAAGCCAAGGGTAAGTATGCATTAAAGGAGGGTCAGACTAGACACATGTTTGTAGTCGTGGTGTAGTAATGAAATAGCTATTAATCTGCCATCGACAATATGTTGCGAGTGCCGTACTTGCTTGATGATGAGATGTCCTCCTAGTAGAGAATTAGAGGTTTTACTTACTGAGTTTTCCCTGACTCACTCCTTTATTTTCAAACGTATAGGTATGGCTACTCCGCCCCCTGAATATTTTGGATTGCCTATAAATATGAAAGTGTCAGTCACAAATATTATCGACGTAGAAGCTGATGTCGCCCACCCCGTAAATGTACCACGACGATATGGGTCGAAGAAGGGTTGGATAATCTAGTTCCATACCGTTATATCGCTTGGCATGTTTGGTTCGACGGGAACCTTGTCGGCCCCTTTCGCTGGTTTGACCACCTAGGCCAAACGATGGAGCGACACCTGGGCCAAACGATGGGGCGACGCCCATTGTGGTGATGGTTGACCCATAAGTACCCTCATATAGCGAAGGGATCCCATTTTTGGATACTGTAGCCCATAGCGGAGCTAGAGATACCCTAGCCTTTTGATGTAGCTAGATAAATAGTTTGCAAATGTACTGATGTTATATAAAGAAGCGTGTTATGTTTACTTCTCGATTTCCAGCTATTATTTTGTTTGGGAGTTTGTTTGTGCACGTTTCTGCATGCTCATATCAACAAGATACAAGAAACGAGACGGCGACGAGCCTGGGACTTCGCAACAATAACCCCCGAAGTGAGGACGCTACTACCGGCTTCCACTTTAGCAATTTCCAACAAAAATTGGTCGGATAGACTTTATCGGCAAAACATGAAAATATTTAAAACTCAATTTGCATAATTAAAAAATTTAAGACTGAATTAACAAAAGTATAATATATTTATGACTTTTTTGCTAATTTTTTCGTGTGTATCAGTGTAATTTTCAGACCATTTGTCTTCCTTGGTAATGGTTTATTGTGAAGAATGAGTTGATGATTTCTGTGCACGTTTTACTGGTCAAAACATAGACTATAACATATGTCGAAAAATGAGCCAATGACTCATCATGTCAACAAAAATTCGGACCAACAATTTGGAATTCTTTTAACATTAGAAGCGGAATTCATAACTAGGATTCTACAAATTAAAATGGGCAAATTTACGACACTAAATTCATCTAACGATCTATATCTTTAAAGGAAAATTGTTTCTAGAAAATTATTTCCTGACTTTCTAGTATTTGGATGACGGAAAAACGAATTGATAAATAGAAAATGTTTTTCATTAATTGAAAATAATAAGCTTAGATTGAGAGAAAACGATTTCTGCTTCTAACAATGAATTGTTAGAATGGGAAATCACTTTCTCTGAACTAGCAAATAAATAGAAACTAACCATTTTTCCTTTAGCATAATTTCCATAGAAAATATTTTCCTTTGTCATAAAGTTCTCGGTGAAAAAACAGGCGCACCATAATGGTCAAATGTCGCCAACTTAGATCATTTTTATGGCTAGCTTTGATGCTTCGCTTTAAAATGGAGATTGGAGAATTATAAAACAAGAAGAGATTAGGTCTTGATCAGAAATTGTCACAAACTGTACAAATGAGCTATTAATCCTCGTAATAACCCAGAAAAAAAAACTATTTTGTTCGGGGCTTATTTATACGTTGAGAATTGATTATCATCTCATTTTACTCCTTTGTTGCATGGACATGAATCTTTTCAAATGTCTTTTTAGCATATTTCATATGAATCTTCCTATTTTGAATAAAATTAATCCAGTTTCTAGTTCATATTAAATTAAAAGTGATTCGATAAAAGTTTAAAAAAATACCTAATTGCAATCATTATATGATATGGGAACATTTAATATGTAAATAACAACATTAATATTGAGAGAAAATAATAAAAAAAATCTTATAAGGAAATACTGCACATGAAAGTTAAAACAAATGTAAAAACTTTCACTAATTGCTAATTTGCAACATTAAAACTCATTAAAACTAGGATTAATATTTGGTGCACTGCCAACGTAGGAAAATCGTTACACATTCACTTTTACATGAGTGATATGTGTACTTCTAGTTAGTTTTCTGATCTTATTCTTCTACGTGTCAATTCAACTGTGAATCTGTAACTTATTTTCTAACTGGCAATGGACCTAATAAAAATCCTCAAACCTAAGTCATTTTTCTTTGGCTGATTCGGTTCTCTATTTTCATTTCCTTGCTTTCCTCCCATTTGGGGAGTTTTCTCTTCCGATTTAGTTCAGATCCGAAAGCTTCTCTCTCCTATTTCGGAAAGGTTTCTATCTCGATCTAGTTTAGATATGGGATTTTATTGTGTATGTTTCGAAGTTTTGCTTCCTTCATGTTTCGTTGGTGTACAAGTCCTTTCAAAGGCGATCAGATGAGCTTCGTAAGGGTTTCGCTCTCACCGTTAAATATATGCTTGTTTAACCTTTTTACTATGTACGGCGATGGTTTTGGGGACGCTGAACCTAGGAGTGCACCGCCAAAAGGCAAAGCCGTAGCTATACATGGAGTTTTCGGTGTGTGCTCATTATTGAAGACAAATTCGGTAATCGACCAACCAGTTTGGTTTGAAGAAGTCACAGATTTGTTCGTCGAGCGTGTGATCCCTGACCTTATTCTGATGATTCATTTTGTTATCTGGAGCTTGTTTTGATTTGAAACTGTCTGGGATTTGTCTTGGTTTGCAGTTGGATTGCGTTGTTTTTCTCTTATTTTTTTGTGAAAATGAATGAAATGTTACTTTGACAAAAAAAAAAATGGGGCAAGCATAAGTCCTAATTGCAAGCAAAATGAGTAGAGAATGCATAAAAATAAAAAATAAAAAATAAAAAATAAAAATTACTTCTTGAGAGGAGAATGACTGATTCTTACAAATTAGAGTCCTATGTGTGACTCTACCGGCAATCTTTAAGAAAGAGCTTCGTATTATATATTTATATAAATTAATCTTTTACATCATTTCTCTTTGGTTTCCTTCTATTTCCATACCAACAAACTAGAAAGCACAAACATTCTTCGGGGGTCTCCGCGTCGGTATCGGATGCGTGTCAAACACGGACACGCGATTGATACGTGGTCGACAGGTGTCAAACATCCGACACGTGGGCAGCGCTCCGGACACGCCAGCGACATCCGAATCCAGCATCTCGACGCGTCATTTCAACACACACGGATCAATTTCAAATATTTTCAATAAATGAGGGGTCAAAATGTAAATTCATTATAGGCTCTTTTTCTATTTGTGAATTTAAATTGAGAGAAACAATCATAAAAATAATAATTATAAAAATATTCATTTATCAAGATTTTTTATTTCTTAAGAAATGACGTGTCGACGTATCATGTCGTGTCGGCATCCACAGTTCCCTAAATCGTTCGTGTCTCTCTCTCCTAAGCTAGTCAGAGTTGAAGTCAAGTCGTGTCTCATCACCCCTCTCTCCTTCACTTTGCCCAGGCCACTCTGCTTCCCTCGACCTTCCTTCACCCACCTGCGAAATGCCCCTCGACTTGTCACCGCCGCTCTCTTCTATCTCCCTCTGCCCATCTTCATCTTCTTCTTCATCTTGCACCCGGAATTCCTCGCGCAATTGCAAGCTGACCCATCCATGGCTTCGCCCGAATTTGGTCGACCGGAGGGGACCCGGAGGCCGCGTGCGCTGTCTGTCGACGAGGCCCAAGAGATGGGCGAGCGCGGCGAGAGTGGACCCGGAGGCAGAGGATCTGGTGAGGGTCCTGATGAGGAAGTTCAGCGACAGGGAACCGCTGTTGAAGACGATGGATAAGTACGTGAGGGTTGTGAGGACCGAGCACTGCTTCCTTCTCTTTGAGGAGCTTGGCAAGACTGATAAATGGACCCAGTGCCTCGAGGTCAGTGGTGGTGGTGGTCTCTCTCCCTCTCTGTCTCGCTCTCTGACTTTATATTTGATGGGTCAAAAAGGCTGTTTTTATGCGATTTCAGCTTCTGGGTATTCAAAGTTCGTGTTAGAGGACGGCAAACTAGGATGTAATCTGTATCAGTACGGTCAAATGGCTTAAGCTTTTAGGACAAGTAGGGTGGCGTTCCTTTGCACGTTTGGTGTGTGATGAATGTTCTATGTGAATGTGTGGTGCGCAAACAGATGTTTTTACACTGGCATCCCCCTCTTAGTCCTTATATTAGTCTGTAAAGAAGGAATGCAGATAATGTGGCCTGCTGCAAAGCATGTCATCTCCATGCGTAATTGACAAATGTAGCTTTTGTGACTAAAGATAATCCCATCTGATGAAATGGGAGCAAATGGTTTGCCCTTATGCTGGCATGGTGCTCATGACATAATTACTTCGTGAAGAAATTACTTGATAAATTTTGAACTTCTGTGCGGATTTACCTTAGCCCGATTGAGCAGCTTCTTTACGCCACGTGCGTTCAGGTGTTCAGATGGATGCAGAAGCAGCGCTGGTATGTAGCCGACAATGGTGTATATTCAAAGCTAATTTCGGTCATGGGTAAGAAAGGGCAAACTCGCATGGCCATGTGGCTGTTCTCAGAGATGCGAAACAGTGGGTGCCGGCCCGACACTTCAGTTTACAATGCCCTCATTACTGCTCACCTTCACTCTAGTGACAAAGCAAAGGCTTTGGCCAAAGCTCTTGGTTATTTTGGCAAGATGAAGGGAATGGAACGCTGTAAGCCCAACGTCGTGACCTATAACATCCTTTTGAGAGCTTTTGCTCAAGCTCGAAATGTGGAACAAGTCAATGATTTGTTCAAGGACCTCGACCAAAGTATTGTTTCGCCCGACATATATACTTTCAATGGTGTGATGGATGCATATGGAAAAAACGGGATGATCCGAGAAATGGAGTCTGTGCTTTCTCGTATGAAAAGCAATCAATGTAAGCCTGACATTATCACATTCAATTTGCTGATCGATTCTTATGGGAAGAGGCAGGACTTTGAGAAGATGGAACAAGTCTTCAAGAGCTTACTGCGCTCTAAGGAGAAGCCAACATTGCCTACATTTAACTCAATGATCATAAACTATGGGAAGGCAAGACTCAAGGACAAAGCGGAACAGGTCTTTCAAAGGATGCGTGCTATGAAGTACACACCAAACCACATCACATATGAGAGTCTAATTATGATGTATGGGTTCTGCGATTGTGTTTCTAAAGCTCGGGATATATTTGATGAATTGATTGAATCTAGGAAGGACACAAAAATATCAACCTTAAATGCGATGCTTGACGTTTATTGCATGAATGGTCTACCTATCGAAGCGGACCTGCTCTTTGAGACAGCAAGAATTGCTGGGGTCAATCCTGATTCATCAACATATAAACTTCTCTACAAGGCATATACTAAATCTCGGAAAAAGGAGCTTGTGGACAAGCTGCTGGAGTGTATGGACAGAGCTGGCATAGTACCCAACAAAAGATTCTTCCTTGATGCACTGGGTGCTTTTGGGTCTCTACCTGCTTCTCCAAAATCTGACAGTGCAAAGAGTTCAAGCAGTCCAGAAGCGACTATTAAGGCTTGAGTAGAATTAACTCGTGAATTTGGTTATATGGGTTAGCTCTCTCCATTTAATGGAGCTTTCCAAGAAAGATTCATAATACAAGAACAGAGCAACAATTCTTCAACCGATCCTCTGAGATGTGACTTGCTCTTTTGGTACTGGTATCAGTGGTATGCATATCTTGCTTTCATATGAGTATGCATTGTGTTCTTTTGTCTTTGATGGTGCTTACGTCCTGAAAACTTAATCAAATAAGAATATACCGTGGCAGATATTTGTGTTAATGATCTTTTTCTCTTGAAATAATTAGTGTAACAATGCCTTGAACTGAAGACGTTTACTGGATTTTCTAAGTACTCATGGGTTAAGCACTCAGTTTTTCATTACATGGTTTCTCTTTTGGATCTTGTGTCAGTTCACACCAACATAAAGTTGAAGACACTCTTAAGTGTTGTGTGCCCATTCTTTCAATTTTCACCTATATCTATTGCATTTTCATGCAGTTAAAGTTAGTGGCGAATGCCAAGAAAGGTTTTTAAATTATGACTGAACTGGAGTGTGGAATAGGTATTTTGATCTTGATTTATCTTTTTCGCAACTGTTTTGACCCAATTAATATCTGCCAATATGTGGGACTGTTTGAGCATATATCTAAATATTCAGGTTTATCAATCTACTCTATTCCATGTCAGAATATAAGCATCTAGTATGGCAGAAGCCTAGCCATCTGTTTCAGCTGAACTTGAACTGATGTTTGTCGGTATCTTGTTCTTGTAGCATTAGTTGACAAAAAAATTGACGAAAACAGTCTATTGTCAAAAGAAAAAGTTGATCTGGAGCATGGCCAAAGGATACCAAGGGCTTCCAGCAAAGCAAGCTATTGGGGAATATCAATTTTATGGCCCTTTTTAGTGGCTCAAGTTAGGGGTTTCTCTTCATGCTAATAAGACAGTCTGAGTGTCTATTGCTGAACATGCAATCCTCCTTTTCCTTGTTTTTCAGCTGGCGAGCTAATCTCGTGTTGAAGCTCAACCATTACCCTGTTCAAAATACATGCACAATCCTGCTCCTAACTTAGATTGGATATTAAATTGTGTTTTTTGGCCTATATGGACTTTCTTTGGTACCTTTGCACATAATCTCTTCACATAATTAGCCTGTCCATTGTCCTTGACTTGGACTGATCAATCTTATCTCAAGCATTTGCCTTAATTTGTTGAGTTGAAGTTTTAGCTTATTACTTGACTTCAATTTGAGGTCGGTTGACATCAGTATAGGAACGTGACTTAGCACAACAGCTCTTTCTTTTCTTTTTCTTTTTTTTTTTTTGCTGCCCTTCTGTTGAGAAAAACCCGTTGTGCTGTTTCACATATTTTGGACATCCTGAGTGACCCAAGATTAGACTTATCACTGGAAGTTCCCTTTCTGACCATAGTCCTTAGAATGACCTCCATGTGGCTCTGTTCGTATGAATCATGCCTCCATCACTTTGTGTGACCTTCATTTAAGCTCTTTCACTGCAGAATGTTGCTCAGCCGCGATTGGCAGTGTTGCTCGGACCTCTGTGGATGTAGTAAACCTTTTTCCAATGGGTTCAATGGTACAAAAGCTATTTCGGATGTTATCGGGTCTGACTGGACTTGGGAGGATCTTGCAGCTGCTTTTCTTCAACTGTATGTATCATTAGTTTGCAAAATCCTTGAAAAATTCCCTCGGATTCATACTTCCAATTTTTATTCATAGGATGATCCATCTAGTGCTTTATGTTCTAATGTTGCTCATAAGCTGATATCTTGTCGATTTCCTTTTCATGTTCTTGTATATTCCTGATGTACTCTTGAGAGAAGTGACTAGTCAAATGGAATGGGTTTGAAATATCTTATGTTTGTTTACGAGGGAAATCATGTGGGAATACAAAAATTCACAACCAAACGTCGAATATATGTCCAAAAAGGAGGGAACAATTGCATCATGGAATCTAAAACTTATTGCCTGAAGCACAAGCGAGTCACAAGACATTTTGTTTTGTCCTATCATGTTCTTAAACATGTGGCCACTGTTTAATTGAAGTCCTTTTGTTAACTCCAAATACGCAAATCCCACGCGATGGTCCCATGCAGCATACGAGAGATCCTTTGAATTTTAAGTCGATGGATTTGATTGAATACGTGCTAAGAGCTCGAGAATTTGAAAGATTCAATTGCATTCAGATGTGAGTTGTAGGATTAGCGTCCCTTTTCCCGTTCAGCGCTTCTGAAAACTTCCCGTGTAGGGAAAGGTCAATTCCTTTTACAACACAAGCCCCTATTGAATGCCGGTGTCAAACGGGCCGCAATGATTATGACAAAGCCGGGTAACATAAAAGCAAACTCGCGAACTCTAACCGCGTTAGCATGTCGTGTCAAAAATCATCACCAATCACATCTAGCATTGTGCACATGAGAACCCATGAAACTGGTAGAAAACGAGATTAGATAGGCTCCACGTTTGGCATTAGAAGTCCCGAGAACTCAGAATCGATGAGTTTTAAGACAGTTTCGAAGGTATGAGACCAACACACCTGTATCTTGTGCAGGGTACCTTCTACGGTATAATCTTCTAAGGTTCTCTCGTATTTCACTGCAAAATCCCTAACTCTCTTCAAGGTACTCTCTAATGTGATATCAATTAAAAAGGATCCAAAAAACCGAGAACAAAGTAAAGAGAAATGATCATATGCTACGACTTACAAGGGAGTACACTATGCAAGAACAAGATAAATTTTACAATTAGTCATCGACCATGGGATTGACTCGATGCTCATAATATCTGATCCATTGATGCCAGCAACAGTCCTAACTGATAGACAAGGGTACAAATAATTCGAGTGATGCAATATCTTTCAGCCTCTCTTAAGAGGGATCCAAATCCAAACAAGAACTTAATGAATAACAATAGAATCATATGGAATTCGACTGGTTCAACCAACCAAAAAATCTGAACTGTTACTGAAACCAACATTATGGACTTGATCGCGATGTCGCCCGGTCATATCAAGCATTTTGACCAGTCATCCCATAGGAAGCATCTCATTCCAAGGGAATTATTACTCAGATTACTGGATGCTCACTTGTAAGCAGAAATTGAGTAAGTTTTCACCATACAGAACAACCCAATCTATCCCCTGAGATTGCTCTAACCAGCTGGAGTACAGTAAAATTGGAATAGCAATCCCCGGTAATAAACCAAATATCATATCATTACTAAGCAAAGTTGCCGGGCTTGAATAAAGCATGCACCTTCATCCACAGAGTGCCTAATTCACATTCTAAAAGTACAGTAGGCAATTTTTTTTTTCGGCTGCAAAACACTCTGTTTTCCTTATCGTTACATCCACTGCAATCTTTCACTCAGTATCAATCCCTTGTTTAAGGGAAATTGTCCAAAAAGTCATAAACCTATTGTACGGAGGCCGATTTAGTCCTAGACCTTTCAATTGTACCGATTTAATCCTAAACCTTTTGACGATTTGCCAATTTAGTCATAATCCTTTCCATTATAACAATTTGGTCCTAAACATTTTAATGATTTGTCAATTTAGTCATAAACCTTTTGACGATTCGCCAATGCGGTCCTTCCGGCCAAATATCCAAATAGATGGTTTAGGACTAAATTCAAAAGGTTTAGGACTAAAGTGACACAAATAAAGGTTTATGACTAAATTGGCAAATCGTCAAAAGGTTTATGACCAAATTGGCACAATCGAAAGGTTCAAGACTACATTAAATGCCGTATAATAGATTTAGGACTTTCTGGACAATTATCGCCCTTGTTTAACTTATCCCTACAGCTCCCACCAATCATGTTTACCATTCTCAATCCTAAAAAGTAAATCCCTTGACATAAGAGAAATGACACATAAATAAAGAAGAAGAAACAAACAAGCCAATTTCCAAATGGCATAGTGAGTCCCAAAAACACAGGCATTGGGAGATTGCATCTCCCTCAAACCAAATGCTAAGTCCATGAAAACAGACTTCAGATAATGTAACAATGACAGTGGTTTCCCCCTCAGGGACTGGAAAGTACCTAAGTTCTAGTGATGCTACATGAGGAATGTTCTCATTTGAGCGTTGGTAGAGCATTCCCAGATTTCCCAATTTCAAGAAAGCATCCAGTACCATTCCTCCCGGGGAATGTTAGGATCATTAAGGACTTGCTAAGAAGTTTCCACAGAATGCTTGCACGCAACTTCAACAAATAAAGTGTAGTTCTAAAAACACTTTCTGGTCTTACTAACAACTCTAAAATGAACAATGTCATTGTATGTGGCAGCTTCCCATCACTCTAATCTTCGAGGAGTCTTTTGGAAAAGATTGACAAACAAATGCCATAGAATAAGTACATATTAATCATGAGAGCTCTGTTCAAGTGTCCATTCATTTTGCAGTAGTTTTTCCACATTTACCATATGACAAGCTTATACAAGATGCTCATGATCTATGGCTGGAATTTTGGTTCTAATACCTTAAAATCATTCAGGTTACAACAAACCCCAGCTTAACACATAAATTGTTGCCAGAGAACTTTAATCCCTAGAACTTTCTGCAAAAGCTTTCACAACCGACATTCCCAACCCTACCCCCCAAAAACAATAAACAAACATTGATCTTTCTATGACTACTTGCTAAATCCTTCTTTCTCCAAATGCTCCCAACCGATGAGCAATTTTTACAAAGAAAAGGAGAGGGGAAAAGAGGCAATGTTGACCCTGCAGGAGTCTATAAACCTTGCAAGTATGTATAAATCATGTTCCTGTCAATAAATAAGCTAACTATCTCATGGACGGGAGAGGTTTAACACTTACTAGCACTCTGGCTTAGACCAAAAATACTGTCTTCGCACCACCCAAAAAGGACAAACTTAGCTTTCTCACAGCATGTGAACCCACTCAACCAGCAATGACAGATGAGCAGTCAGCCAAGCAAAAGAAGCAGGACCCACCCACATCCCACTACCTGATTAACCCTCAATTGGATTTATCATTATCCTGATTCTGTTAACTGGCAAGGAATACAGGAATTGCATATCACAAAGAAAGGTGTATGAATCGGTTTTAGTTTGGTCGAGAAACACAGATTTGTACTTATGACCAACCAGTGAGGAGATTCTCCATTTTTTTAATATTTGATGTAAGCATCAGACTTCTCTAGTCCTCAATCCACTGAAGCATAACACCATAATATAACCAAATACCTCCTGCTTCTAAATCCCAATTCTACTATAATAAGGAAATATTAACCTCATATTCGCTTTGATTTCAGTCTAGAAGCAGTACAACTCCATATAGTCCTTACTAATAATACAACCAAGAGCGGTCCAGAAACCAATTCAGACACGCCTAATTCATCTTATACGTAATTTGTCAAGCTAAGAGGCATTTTCACAACTATCTGAAATCAATAAACGGGAAGCTTCACCTGTCCATCTAAAATGTCGGAATTTTCCAACAACTTTGATGCAGATTAGGGTCTGCACATATTAAGGATGCTCAGATTGTGACTCAATAAGCTTTTTATGGTTTTTCGTAGACTGGGGCTTATATACAGTCTATGGATTTGTACTTGCAAAAGAGAACTAGCTGAAAGTTTCATTTTCAAATAACGAATTAGAAATGAGTGCAGCTATATGATTCTGAAGAGTGAAGTCAAACAATGCTGATGTAAAAATATTTCTTACTTCAACCATCTTTCCCGGATATATGTATGTAAAGTGATAACATCCTGATATTAATGGCAACCTGAACATCTGTGACAGAGCCTTAGTAGCTCAATACCGACAGGTTCAAGAATTGATTTTCAATAAGACTTCAAAACACAGGTAACTTAAATAATCATATCATAATCTAACTCATCAAGTACCCTCAAGTATGGTATCGGTATCCACAATTTTAAAGGGGAAAAAGTATAAAGTCACATTTTGCAGATTGCTATATGAACAAGTAGAACATGTATGGATAAAAGGTACGCGGCTGTAACCAAATTCTCACCTAAGTTCTACTTCTAATATATTAGGTAAAGAAAAAATTTCTTCAATAGTCCTATTTACTTGCCCATTAAATGCTGACCGTTACTGTGCATAGTTGCATAATCTATCTAAAAAATACTATTTGGGAGTATGAAATAGCAAAATAATTAGATAGGATCAAATATCAAGACCAGCATCACTATCTAAACAAAACAAGTAACACAAATAGCAAAATCATCTGAGGAATTGTTGTAGAAAAGAAAAGGGGTGTACAACAAAATTAATATGGAGTTAATTTTCGTTAAAAAGTGAAGATGAGTCTTACACAATAGAAATATGAGACAATTTATCCACAGGGGGAGAGAGAAAGAGAGAGAGTGACAATGAATATTAAGTTCTACAAAGGAATGTAAAAGGCACTCCGCCAACCCATCATGGAAGAGCAAAATCATTCCTCAAGTTCAGCTGCACTTTCATCTGCATATGGAAGTCCAATAATGTAAAGACCAAAAAACAAGACAAATTCCCCCTTAAATATAAAAAAAATCAAATAAAAAGTGTATAACGAACAAAAAAATTCAGAAGCAGAAACAACTAACAAGAATCCACAAGGCAGCCTAAAAAAGGAATAATTATGTCCAGGAAGATGGAAGAAAGCCACTGCTGCTTTCCTCAAGTAAAATGGCACCCCAAAAATCACAAATAATATGGCAGATAAATTTGGAGGCAGAAGAGTGAGAAATTGCATTGACAAATTTGGGAGAAGAAACAATTTAGTCGGAAAAGTTAATAACCTAAAACGCATTGACCGAGCCAAAGAAACAACACCCCTTAAAGCAAGATCATTAAAAAAAACAAAATGGTCCGGGTGATGCGGTTGCATCCGAAAACCCCCAACATGTAGAAAACCCCCAAGCTGGTGAGAACTCAACTTCAAGCCTAGCTTTACTAATTGGCGAATGCAGCTTGAAGAATGGGTACTATGTACTTCATTGGGTCAAAGAAAGTGGTTGAATTGAAGCCCAATAGGAGTTGTATCAATGGGAGGTCGAGTGGAGCTGTTCTCGTGCACTTTGGATACCTTTTGGTAATTTTACTTGGTGGCTACGGTTGAAGTACGAGATTGCACAACGAGATTGCACAAGATTCATTCTAGTTTCCTATTTTGAAGATTTTATTTTGGGTTATTTCCTATTCTGGGATTTCCTCTTAGGTTTGTTTCCTAATTTGTTGTTTCCTATCTTAAGTCCTAGTTTCTCTTTAAATAAGGGTTCGGCCTACATTGTAAGGGGTTGGTGAATGAATAAGAATTCCTCTGAGTGAGTTGATTCAAATTCTTAGGCATCTTTATCCTAAGAGAGTGGTTTCTCTTTGGTGGTGAGCCGAAGGTCCTTTATCCTTGAGTTGGTGGCGTTGCCTTTATGCTCTCGGTGGTGAACCTATTCAAACTCAATCGAATCTGTGGCTGGTGGTGCGCCTTTAGGCCGTGGTGAAGATTGTTCTATCCCTCTCGGTGAAGATCCTTGGTTGGTGGTCTAATCTTTACGCCTTGGTTCCTAATCGAATCTTTACTTTATGTGCTGTTTGGATGCTTTGTGGAATCACTCGCCCACGCACGCATCAAATTGGTATCAGAGCACAGGTTAGTTCATCTTGAGTGATTCCTTTGCTGTTTCACACATCAATTCGCAACATGGAAGGTGATGTTCCAAGAGGCATGACCTTGGAGCAAGCGCACGACGAAAGGAGAGATCGTGCCATCGAGAGTCTCCAAAGACAGATGGAGCGCTTATTTGAGCGCCTAGACCGACCCGCAAGAAATCCTTTCGCCCGTCAACACCGAGATGAGTCCGAGTCTCGAAGTTCCCATGGAGATTCAGAATCCGATGAAGAAGATTCAAGTGCTTCAGAACCTCAAGCACGGAGGAGAAGAGGACGGCATACACGAGATGACCGTGACATCAAAGTTGAACTTCCTGAATTTGCCGGTAATCTTAATCCTGATGAATTTGTTGAGTGGATGCACGTTATTGAGCGAATGTTCGAATTCAAGTCCTACTCGGATGAGAAGAAGTGCAAGGTTGCTATCTTGAAGTTAACAAAGTATGCTTCACTATGGTGGGAGAATGTGAAGAACCAGCGAGTTAGGGAAGGCAAGAGCAAAATCCGTTCTTGGGGAAAACTCAAGAAACTCATGAAGAAGAGATTTTTGCCCGATCATTATAGGCAAGATCTTTTCCTCAAGATGAATACTCTCAAACAAGAAGGATTGAGCGTTGAAGAATACATCCGGGAATTTGAACAAATCATGATGAGATGTGATATTCCAGAATTGCCAGAACAAAGCATTGCTCGGTTCCTTGGTGGCTTGAACAGAGATATTGCTGATTTGGTTGAACTTCAACCTTATTGGGCCTTTGAAGATGTTTGCAAATTAGCCATGAAGGTTGAAAAGCAACAAAAGCGCAACAAGTCCTCAACAACCAGATTTGCGCCAAAAGGAACATCCTTCTTTAAAGGTGCTTCTTCTACCAAGCCTAAGGACCAACAAAGGACAAGGGCGAGAGAAAAGCAATTTCGAACCTCTTAAAGGGTTCTCGGCCAGAACCGAAGGTGACAAAAGAAAGTGCTTCAAGTGCCAAGGCTATGGACACTTCCAAGCTAATTGCCCAAATCGGCGAGTTATGACTCTTCAAGAAATTGATGAGATCAATTCATCACTTCAAGAAGCCGAAGATGGTGCTGAATCCGAGGGAATTGAAGAGAACGTTATGGAGGTTGCTGATGATGGTGAACTATTGGTGATCCGGAGAGCTTTGCACGCCATAATTTCTCCTAAGGATGATGGACAAAGGGAGAACATCTTTCACACCCGTTGCACCATTAACGGGAAGGTGTGTTCAACCATCATTGATGGAGGGAGCTGCACCAATGTTGCGTCGACTACCTTGGTTGACAAATTGAAGTTGCCAACGTCCAAACATCCTGAGCCATATAAACTTCAATGGCTTAGCAAAGGAAGCGATCTCAAGGTAACCAAACAAGCCTTAATTTCGTTATCAATTGGAAAGAACTATCAAGATCAGGTTTTGTGTGATGTTATCCCTATGGATGCATGCCACTTATTGTTGGGTAGACCATGGCAATATGATAGGAAGGTCGTTCATGATGGACATAAAAATACTTATTCGTTTAACAAGGATAAGAAGTGCATTACTCTCACACCTTTGCATCCGACTCATATACTTAAATCTCAACCTGGGGAGGGAAACACTAGTAAGGAAAATCTGTTCTTGAGTGAAACACGGGTTGAGAGAGCTATTAGCAAGCAGAAGAATGTGTTTGCTTTGCTAGTGGTTGAAAAGAGTGAGTTAGAGCGTCCCATACACCCCAAAATACGTTCTTTGTTAAGAGACTATGCAGATGTGTTCCCGGAGGATCTACCACCCGGATTACCTCCAATTAGAGGCATTGAACATCACATCGACTTTGCTGCCCTAGTGCCACTTTACCAAACAAGGCGGCTTATCGATGCAATCCGGAGGAAACCAAAGAGGCTGCAAAGACAAGTGGGTGAGCTCATCAAGAAAGGGTATGTTCGAGAAAGCATGAGCCCATGTTCCGTCCCGGCTCTACTTGTCCCCAAGAAGGATGGTACATACCGCATGTGCGTTGATAGTCGAGCGATCAACAACATTACCATTAAATATAGGTATCCTATTCCTAGACTTGATGATATGCTTGATGAGCTATATGGTTCTATTATCTTTTCAAAGATAGATTTGCGAAGTGGATATCACCAGATTCGAATGAGAGATGGTGATGAATGGAAGACGGCCTTTAAAACCAAGGGATGACTTTATGAGTGAATGGTTATGCCATTCGGACTATCTAATGCCCCTAGTACTTTCATGAGGTTGATGAATGAAGTTCTTCGACCTTATATTGGTCACTTTGTTGTTGTTTACTTTGATGACATTCTTGTGTACAGCAAAAGCGAAAAGGAACATGTTTCTCACTTGAAACAGATTTTTGAAGTCTTAAGGCAACAAAAGCTCTATGGAAAGATGGAGAAGTGCCAATTCTTTTCTTCTAGCCTTGTCTTCCTTGGATATGTTGTTTCAGGAGATGGAATTTCCGTTGATCAATCAAAGGTGCAAGCAATCAAGTCTTGGCCAATTCCTAAGTCAATTTCTGATGTGAGGAGCTTCCATGGACTTGCTTCATTCTATCGTAGGTTTGTGAAGAACTTCAAAGACTATTTTGGCCCTCTCACGGAAAGTGCTTGAAGAATAAATCATTTGAATGGACAAAGGCTGCTCATAATGCTTTTGAAGCAATCAAACAGTGGTTATGTGAGTCTCCTATACTTGCTCTCCCCGATTTTAACAAGGTGTTTGAAGTTGAATGTGATGCAAGTGGAGTTGGAGTTGGAGCTGTCCTAGTCCAAGAACAAAGGCCATTAGCTTACTTTAGTGAAAAGTTGGCGGATTCAAAGAAGAACTACTCAACTTATGATAAGGAGTTCTATGCCATTGTTAAAGCTCTTGATCATTGGAGTCATTATTTGAGGCCAAAACAATTTGTTCTTCATTCTGATCATGAGGCATTGAAATACATTAGTGGTCAACACAAGTTGAATTCGAGACATGCTAAATGGGTAGAATTTCTTCAATCCTTCTCATTTGTTTCTAAATATAAACCTGGCCATACTAATGTTGTTGCGGATGCTTTGTCAAGAAAATATGCTATGCTTGCTGTATTGGACTCTAGAATCCTTGGATTTCAATCAATGAAGGGATTATATTCTGAGGATGAAGACTTCTCTCCAATCCTTGAGAATTGCAAGCATGGAGCTCAAGGTACATATTCTGTCCAAGATGATTTTCTTTTTAAAGGAAATCGCCTATGTATACCAAAGAGTTCTTTTAGAGAGCTCTTGATCCGAGAAGCGCATGGAGGAGGCCTAGCTGGTCACTTTGGTATCAACAAGACACTTGAGGTCCTCCAAGAGCACTTCTATTGGCCAAAGATGAATGGAGATGTACATGCTGTCATCTCGAGGTGCGCAACTTGTCAAAGAGCCAAAAGTCACTTTCATCAAGGCTTGTACACACCACTTCCTGTCCCAGTTCAGCCTTGGGAAGATGTGAGCATGGACTTCATTGTTGCTCTTCCACGCACTCAAAGAGGGAAAGATGCGGTCATGGTGGTGGTTGATAGGTTCTCTAAGATGGCTCATTTTGTACCATGCCACAAGGCCGATGATGCATCTCATATTGCTGACTTGTACTTCAAAGAGGTTATCCGTCTTCATGGAGTACCTAAGACTATTGTTTCTGATCGTGACTCTAAGTTCTTAAGTTACTTTTGGAAGACATTGTGGGGAAAGCTTGGAACAAGACTCCTATTCAGCACGGCTTGTCATCCCCAAACCGATGGTCAAACGGAGGTAACCAACCGTACTTTAACCACTCTACTTCGTGGTTTGGTGAGTAAGTCTTTAAAGGATTGGGATTTGAAGCTTGCGCATGCTGAATTTGCTTATAATCGATCTCCTAGTTATACTACGGGACGATCACCATTTGAAGTTGTTTATGGCATTAATCCTCTCACTCCAATTGATTTGATTCCTATTCCATCTAACTCTCAAGTGAATTTTGATGGAAAAGAAAGGGCTGAATCTATGAAGAAGCTCCATGAACAAATTCGTGCAAAGATTGAAAAGGCTAATGAGACTTATAAGAGGAAAGCAAATCAGCATCGCAAAGGAATCCATTTCAATCCAGGTGACCTTGTGTGGTTACACTTAAGGAAGGAAAGATTTCCTTCTCGCCGCAAGAACAAGCTCATGTCAAGGTCAGATGGTCCATTTAAAGTTCTTGAACGTGTTGGCAATAATGCATACAAGATTGAGCTTCCTGGAGATTATGGAGTCTCGGCCACTTTCAATGTGGGGGACCTTGCACCATATTTAGAAGATGAAGACCTTGGAAGATTTGAGGGCAAATCTTTTCAACCTGGGGAGAATGATGCGGTTGCATCCGAAAACCCCCAACATGTAGAAAACCCCAAGTGGTGAGAACTCAACTTCAAGCCTAGCTTTACTAATTGGCGAATGCAACTTGAAGAATGGGTACTATGTACTTCATTGGGTCAAAGAAAGTGGTTGAATTGAAGCCCAATAGGAGTTGTATCAATGGGAGGTCGAGTGGAGCTGTTCTCGTGCACTTTGGATACCTTTTGGTAATTTTACTTGGTGGCTACGGTTGAAGTACGAGATTGCACAACGAGATTGCACAAGATCATTCTAGTTTCCTATTTTGAAGTCTTATCTTGGGTTATTTCCTATTCTGGGATTTCCTCTTAGGTTTGTTTCCTAATTTGTTGTTTCCTATCTTAAGTCCTAGTTTCTCTTTAAATAAGGGTTCGGCCTACATTGTAAGGGGTTGGTGAATGAATAAGAATTCCTCTGAGTGAGTTGATTCAAATTCTTAGGCATCTTTATCCTAAGAGAGTGGTTTTTCTTTGGTGGTGAGCCGAAGGTCCTTTATCCTTGAGTTGGTGGCGTTGCCTTTATGCTCTCGGTGGTGAACCTATTCAAACTCAATCGAATCTATGGCTGGTGGTGCGCCTTTAGGCCGTGGTGAAGATTGTTCTATCCCTCTCGGTGAAGATCCTTGGTTGGTGGTCTAATCTTTACGCCTTGGTTCCTAATCGAATCTTTACTTTATGTGCTGTTTGGATGCTTTGTGGAATCACTCGCCCACGCACGCATACAGCCATTCAGAGAAAAAGCATGAAAAGAAGTTCACTTCACGGACTTACTTATTACAATAGTACAAGCAAGATATATTCTCAGGGATCAAAACTTTTATGGTATATGCAATGAATAAAGTCATTCTTGACAGAATTAGTTGATACTAGAAATCCGAGAGATGGCAAGATAATTAAACATGTAATATGACTGTAATTTTTTAGTGAACAGCATCATAAGTGATGAAAAACTTTAGAGTCAGGAGAGTAATCTTAGAAAGATCTTCAACATGCATAAATTTCTCAGAAAGAAGCTTTGACATCATCAAGAGGTCAAGCAAAAATCTATTGTTTATGTTGACAATTGAAAGACATATACTAGGTCACAAAATATCGAACTTAAATAAATGTCAGGGCTGACAAATTGATTGGTTCAAGGTAGCAAATAATTGGAGCACGGAAGAGAAAATTCTGGCAGAGGAGTGAAAACGAAATCCACAAGCCCTACCCAACATTAAAAATATTAGTAGAGGTTAACGGATGGTTAAAAATTCAAGAGAAGATGCAACGAATTTAATGGAAACTAAGAATGATGTACAAGAAATAGATATAGGTCCATAGCTATTGCTGTCAAAAAATTTCAAAGACAAACATTGTAGCATATTTAAATGGGAAATAGGTGTCAAGACCATGGAGAACCATGGCCAACAGTATAAAATACTCTAATTCTGTTTAAGAAACAAAAGAAGATATCCTCCCTTTTCAGCAAAAGAAATTGTTTAATGCCTTGAAAGAGCAAAGCAGACATATAATTCATCCTTAACCAATCATATGATTATCATAGGTAAGGATAAATAATATGGTTAATACCACGAAAAACCCCAAACCAGTACATTTGTGACAAATTTACCCCACTGACACGGATTTCCACGTGGACTTACCATGTCATTGCCATATGTTATCCAGCTCAGCAATTTCACGGATAAATTTGACAGAAGCTAAATATGTCACAAATGTACCAATTTGGAGTTTTTGGTGACCCAAAAATTAATTTGGGGTAAATTTGTCACTGGTAACCAGTTTGGTGTTTTTTGTGGCATTAACCCTAAATAATAATAACCACACGACATACTTAAATGTATACGGCGAAAAAAGGGGATCCTCATAAACCAAGTCGCCTGACAAATTACTGAATCGAATGCATGCAAGATACATATGAAGAGAAAAGACCTACTAATTAGTCAAGTAAACAAAGCGTATCCCGGGAAGAAATTAGTTCTTTGATATAATCACATAACCCTTGAAGTTACAAAAATGAGTAGCAGAATTCATGGAGAGACCAACATAATTAGGACATGGCCCAAAAGATCAAAAGCAAATAGGGAAATACATATTAAAGGTGCAAAGGAAAAACTAGCCTGAAAAGCACGTTCAAGCAAAAAGTAAGCATCATCAACACTATATAACCATACACTCAAATGAATGCTAGACATGGTAAGATACTCTAAGAATAAGTTCCTCAGAAGAGTAAGTAGTAACAGCAATGTTGTAGAACAAGGCAGTAAGACCGCAATCAAAGAAAAAGTTCTTCAATAAGCTCAGTAACCAGGACGTAATGCTCTCTGACAATTTTTCTATTGGTATTCCATAGAAGAACATCCTTACCATATAATTGAGCAAGAAAATTTGGGAACTACCATGACCAGAAATACTCTGGTTCATTCATTAAGAGTATCAGTAGCAAGACCAAACGATATGCTTTTTCAGCATAATTCGGCAACTTGCACCCCAAGGAGCCAAAAGAAGCAGCTCAAAGCAGCTTAATGATATGTAGCATAAGAACAGAATCTTCATCTCCAAAATAATTAAGTTTGCTTTAATATTGCTATTTTCAGAGGAAAAAAATCACTTTTTTTCTTTAAAATAACGAGTGCATAACCATCTGTTCAGCACATTTATAGAAAAGGAATTTTACATGAAAATCACATCGAGGAGTCAATGATATACAACAACCATAGCAAAGTTATACTTTTCCCTATGCAAGAGAAAACAAAAGGAGCCACCTAACAAACAAAACATGATAGCATGACAAGCAACTAACTCAGTTAATCCCACCCTATGGTACTCCGAAGACTTTTGTAACGATGTTTCTGGAAAACCACCGAGGGTGAGCTCATTGTCTAACATATTACCGCCACAGAGGAAAGATGGCTTTCTTTAGTGTTGCAGCTAGTATATCTTCTGCCGCCAGCATAACGGAGTGGCAATTCATATCGCATTACGTATCTTGCAGCTAATTCAACTACCCTAGATGTTTCAGAGCTTCATAATGAGGGCAAATAATGCATTAACTAAAATAAGAACAGAACATACTCTTCCTTCCACCCTACCAAAAATCCTAAACAAGAGAAAGAACTTCACTTGAGAACACATAGGCATACAAACAGAATGTACAGAAGCTAAAGAAACTACTTGATATAATTCATACCAAGTCTGTGTGGGAAACCCACTGGAAGATGCACCACCTCCCTTAGCCCTAAACGGAGCCGTTTGCTGTGCGCTCTGGGGCATATTTGCTGCATAAAAATGCTGCAGCCCCAGCTGCGGCACAGAACTCGACCCGCCATAAGCTCCAAGCACTGAACCTCCAGCTCCACCACCAACGACCCCGGATTGGGTCGCCGCCGCCATTCCTTGACCTAAATTTCCCTGGCTCAACGCCAACATACTTTGATTCAAAGCGCCGGCTATTGCCGGATTGACAAACCCTAAGGCACCAGGGTTTGCTAACAGCCCTCCGTAGATCTGGTGCAAGCCGGGATACTGATTCAGCACAGACAAATTCTGAGCAGCAGTGAATGCCGGAGCCAGAGCTGGACCTGGAGCCCGAGCCGGAGCTGGAGCCCGAGCCTGAGGCTGCCCCCGCACCTGATTTTTCCCTTTCACCTCAGCGCCCGCGCGATTCACATCGACCTTCTTCACTGCCGAGTTCGAATCCCTCGACACGCCGGTGCCGCCACGGCCGATCGAGGCCAACTGGCACGACACGACCCGATTGTCGATCTTCTTCTTCGGCTCCTTCAACGCCTTCACGGCCCCTTTCCGCGTCCTGAACAGGACGAACCCGTACCCCTTGGACTTCCCCGTCGCGCGGTCGGTCACCACGTTGCAGTCCTCGACATCGCCGAACGACGCGAAGGCGGCGGCCAGGGACTGCGGCGTGGCCTCCCAGGCGAGACCGTAGACGAAGATCTTCCGGTGGGCGACGTCGCGGTCGGCGACCTCGCGGATGTGGCCGTAGAGGGCAGGGTTGGCGAGGGCGGAGCTGGTGATGAGGTCGACGAGCTGGTCCTTGGTGTAGGGCTCGAGGAGGGTCGGGAGCTTGTCGGAGTCGGGCTCGGAGTCGGAGTCGGAGTCGGGCATGGGGCGAGGGCGCTGCTTCTTGGTCTTCTTGACCTTGAGCTTCTTGGGTGTCATCTTGGTGGGGTCTTTGGAGAGTTTGAGCTTCTGGGTCTTGTTGCCCGTCTTCGCCATGGGAGAGCAGAGAGGGATGGCGAGCGAGTTAGCAGCTGCCGACGTCGATGGTGTCAGCTTCGTCTCCCTCGTTGCGCCCTCTCGCTCTACTGGGTTCGACCGTGGATGAATTCTTGTCCGAAGGCACGGCGTTCGCCGCTCGCTATGATTCGATCCAAGATTTACCAAGAAATCGACTTTTCATCAGTCGAGACGTGTCTTTTTATCGATTGATGCCCCATGCCCGACAGATGTAAGGCAAACAACTGTGCACGAGCATGTCTGAGGTCTGCCGGGGACGCTCACGTGTGGTCGGAACAGTTGTGAATTTATGGTGTTTTTTCGAAACCGGTTCTCAAGATTAGGAGGAAGAACTTGGAAGCCAAACCTGATCGAACGATGTGGCGGAGCGAACTGGGTCAGGAAGAGGCTCTTGGGTTGAACGGAGAAGGAAGAGAGAAAGCTCGCCGGAGGCGGAGGAGAAGAAGAGATAATAAAAAATTAAGATTAATACCACATTTGTACACTTATGATAAATTTACAATAAACTAATTAAATCTCAAACTTGTATATTTGCGATAAATTTACCATTCGTTTGTTTCCGTTAAATTTTACTATCAAATTACTGAGTTGAATGACAGTGACAATTGACGACCGTACCAATTTGAAGTTTTAACTCTCTGTTTGCCAGTTTGTGGCTTTTCGTGATATTAATCCAATTTAAGGGAAACTAATAGAGAGTAAATTTATCACAAATATATCAATTTAGAGTTATTAATGGTAAAAAAATTAGGTCAGGATAAATCTATCACATGCCTATTAGTTTGGAATTTTCGTGGTAAAAAAATTAATTTGATTATACCAATTTTTCCAAAAAAAAAATAAGAATTATAGGATCCACAACTTGAATTACAAGAGCATCATAAATCTCGAAATTTTATCGGGAAGGTGGAATTAAATCATTTTGTTATCCGTGACTTTTTTATTATTTTCTTAAGAAACAAATGAAAAAAGATTAAAAAATTCAAAAAGAAAGGATAAGAAATGTAAAAAAAGTTAAAATTTGAGAAAAAATCCCCAAAATTAGCTTTGTTTCTTTTTTATTTTCTCTCTCCTTTCTCCCCTTTGGTTCCCTACAAAACCCATCACACAGGGCGATGAGGAGACTCGCGACACTCATCATCTAGAGTCGACGTTTACCAACCGGTCGTTCCTTAATTTCAAGGGTGTGTATGAAACCAAAACTAAAGTGAGAATAGTGGCTACCTAAATCTTAAATACCAAACACTTCATCGAACGTCCTTAATTTCGAATATTAAAAATGCAAACGGATCAATGGACGGATTGGTCCTAGTAATAGGCCTAGATGACTTAGCCAAACACATTCTTATTTTAAGAATTATTAAAATTTCTATATGAAATTGATTTGGTTGGATGAGTCACATAGAAAAAAAAAGTTGTGCCAAGGCGGGGGGCCCTAGGCCCAAGTGACTTAGCCAAACACACTAGCATTTTTAGAGTTATTAAAATTTATATATTTTTTTTGTCAGAATTAAAATTTATATATGAAATTGATCAGGTGGAAGAGCCACATTAAAAAAAAAATCGTTTAAATGCCCCAAATCATTTTTCCTTTAAGAGAAATTGTGCCAGGTGGCCTAATCAGCTACGTCTCGATCTAGTTTAACAAGCAATCCTATGTTTTTCAATTGTCGCAATTAATTTGTTTCTAAAAATGGAATAAAATCCTAATTCTTTTATTAAAGCAATAATATCATAAATGTTTATCGAAAACTAGTAACTTAATTATCGAATAAAAAAGATCGTAACAAGGAAATAATAACTATGCATATATTAGATTTTTTTTTCAACATCTAAAACTAATGAATTTACAGCGACATTTGATGATAATTCATTTTACAGGTTGGTTTTAAGCTTTAATTGCATGAATTGGAGGTTTTAAATCTCGATTGTCCCTCGAGTGCGAGTTTATGATCTATTTGTTCTTACAAAAAAAAAAGAAAATTAACTTTCCCCACAAAAATAAAATAAAAACTACCCAAACTTCAAAAATAACTTCGAGTTTTTTTTTGGGTCGGAAAAAAAACAACTTCGAGTTACATGTTAATATCAATAACTTTTGCGAAGCCCAAATTAAAATACAAAGTACAAGGTACTTTCACACTACCAAAAAAAAAAAAACTCCTATGAAATACCAATTTCAGAGAAATAAGTCAAATACAGAAAAAAAAGTAAAAAAAAAAAAAAAAAGCAGGAGAGATCAAAACGACGGCATCACCCACAGCAACGTCGACACTTCCTTTTCCTTCGCGTCTCCTTCTCTGAAACTTCGCCTTCGACAGGGAAGCGATGGAGGCGGAGGAGGCGAGCGCAGCGCGACGGAGGAGATTCGCCAGGTGAGCTCCCCCTCCCCCCTACCCACGGGAAAAAAAAGCAAAGATTCCCGAAGTGAGGAGGGAGAGATGGAATCCTTCTAGGGGGTCCCCCTCGCTTTCCTCCGCGAATCTCCCTTGAAGCCCTAGAAGTTCCAGCGAAAGTCCCGCCCCCTTCCCCTCCTCCTCCTCCTGGCCTCGACGCGCCGCCCCCCCCCCGGGATGGCGGATCGCGCGGAGTCCTCCGCCCTCATCGCGCCGCCGCAGCCGATGCGGGAGCCGAGCGAGGTTGACCTCGAGGCCGGGCCCGGCGAGCAAATCCAGTGCCGGATTTGCCTCGAGACCGACGGTAATTTGCTCCCAGACCGTGTGCTGCTGCTGGTGCTGGTGCCCGCTGTGTAGGGGTTTTCCGGGGTCGTGGGTTGTTGGGTCGGACGGTGCTTTGCATTGTTGGCTCGAAGTTCGCGTCTTGCGAAATGGGGGCCTCGGTTAGGTCTTGCCTGCGGTCAATTCGGAGGAGTGAGGTTGTGTTCTGGAGCATCGTTTGGGTGGTTTTTGCGACCAAGTGATGGTTTTTGTCTGAAATTACCTGTGAAGTTCTGCTATTTCTGCTACCGAAGGGTCGTGCTTGGCGAGTTAACCATCGGGTTGTTCAGTGAGAACGATGAGGGTGTTCTGGGTTTTGATGACATATGCTTCCTGTGTGGTTGAATTGTTGAATAAGTGATCTTTTGCTAATTAGCTTGGCCTCGGTTCGGTTGTCCTTTCTGTTTAAGTTCAAAAGTTCCGGATGATTCTTTTTCTCGTGATTGGTTGGTTAACGAGATGGCGTGTGTTGTGCATTCTCCCATCAGTTTCGTCCTTTAAAGTCTGTTCTTTTCTGCAGGCAGAGATTTTATTGCTCCTTGCAAGTGTAAAGGGACATCAAAATATGTTCACCGTGAATGTTTGGATCACTGGCGAGCTGTTCGGGTATGATCAAAATGACAGCTTTCGTCAATTTTCATTTGGTAGAGATATTAGACGATGATGCTGTTGAGATTTTGAAGATGGCTGCTGGAGAGATAAATTGATTGAGATATAATGTTTCGCTTTGATTTTTTTATTAGTACCCGGCACTTAATACTGCGAAGAGTTTCTGCATGATGTGCTCGCAGTCTTCCTTCTGAAGACATGATTCGAGTAGACTATTGGTTTATAGTCTTTTCACCTCTTTTTGCTTTTTGAAACCATAATTTCGTACTCTTAAAAGTGACTATTTCGAAGGCTTGTAGTCTTTATCGAAATAATCCTCGAAATAATAACAGGATTGCTTGCTTAATCAACTCCTACTTTTCACATTCTTTTGTAGATTTTTGTTTTTTCTTTTGTGCCAAAACACACGACTTTTTAGTTTTTGTTTATTTGTCCCCTGGTGCTTTTGGCTTTAGATCGTCTTATGCTTTATTTTCTCCCTTGAGATAACTAATCAGAAGAAGGTTGAAAGTTGGGACATTGGATTTAGTGGAAAATAGTTCAAAGAGCAAATTATAAGGTTTTATAATTAGAAATTAAGAAGTCCAGTGGGGTGACAGTGGTCTGCTGTTCTGTGACCCAGGTTTTGGAGTTTACATTTTAGATGCTTGCGCTTGTATTTTGTATCTGAAAACCTCAAAAAGGGATTGCTTTTTTTTTTTTCCTTTCTTTCCAAGTCATTCATTCTTGTTCACAACTGTATCTTCTATTTCCTGTTATCCTCACCTGCCCCTGCTTTGATTTATTTCATAGGCAGATTGTTTCTCCTCTTGCTGCTTTGTCTGTAAACAACCATGTGGGCATGGTTTTCTCTTTTTCCGATCTTTTCTTGTTGATTAGCATCTCTTCTTTTGCTTTCTCGTCTTCAATTGCTCCTTTTCCTCCTTTGCTGTTAATCCATTTCTCTTTCCCTGGATTTGCTCCATTTTGGCTTCGTCATGGCTTATCATCTCTCCTTTGCTGTCCTTTATGCCTCATTTTCTCAATTATTAGCTAGATGATGATTTTTATGAGTCAGTGAACAATGCCTGGCTGTTTCTCTACCAAACAAATTTCATTTGTTAATTATTTTCGGCATATATCTTCCTATGAATTTAATTGAAATTTCATGCTTTTTTCCCTCTAAGTTCTTATTTTAAGTGCTGATATCCAAATGAATTTTTATAGAAGCTGAATCGGAAAGGGGCCAAGCTGACTGATGAGAGTCTTTTCTGAAGGCTAAAAATTCAAATCATTGCTATTTGATTTCGACCTGTTCTGGAAACGGTTGAGGCATTTTGAATTGTTTGTTGACATGGACAAAGTCATGGAAAACCTCTAAAATTATCTCAATGTTGGACATTGGACATATAATAAAGCTGGTGCGAAGTATGCTGCCTTCATTTATTTATATTTTAATTATGCTCTTTATTGCTGCATGAGCATAATGTGCATACTGCGTAGCCTGCTGCCTGGCCACATCTTGTGTGTCCTAGTTATAATTTCTTATAATATGTCCCTCTATTGCTGCAGGAAGGGTTTGCATTTGCTCATTGCACCACTTGCAAGGCCCCCTATCATTTGAGAGTTCATGTTGTTGCTGATCGAAAGTGGCGGACTTTGAAATTTCGGTTCTTTGTTACTAGAGACATCATATTTATTTTTCTGGCCGTCCAACTTGTAGGTCATTGATCTTTTTCTCCATTATGCACTTTTATTTTGTTGGGCCTTTAATTTTACTCATTCCCCTCTGATACCTTACAGGTGATCACTTCTCTAGCATACTTGGTGTATTTGATAGATGGCTACCAGCAGTTCTGGCTTCGGCATGCATGGGGTTTTGATAGTGGCAGTAGCTTCTACTACATTTGTGGTGATTTCTTATAAATCTTTGCCTTAAATATTTGCACAGTGCTTGTACGCTTTTACATCTTCAGGGTAATGTTACTAGCCACTTAACTTGTTGTCAGTTCTGCAAAATCGTATGGGTTGGGTTATGGCTGTTTGTTTTTCGGTGCATTCCTTCTTTGATCTTATGAATGGTTCAAGAAAAAGGTGTAGATCAAAGAAACTGTAATGGAGAGAATCATAATGAAGCTTC